AAATCGATGGGAAGTGTTCCCTTTTGAACAGTTAGTTCTTGAGTTTGTTTTTCACCAAATTGTCTGCTTCTGCTGTAGCAGATGGTTTCCATTCAGAGACTCTGCTCCTCTAGGAAGACCAGCAAGGGAGGGAAAGAGTAATGCTTTCTTGGAAAAAGCCCTTTATGATGTGATGAGCAGGGGAAACCCATTACCCAGCATCCTAGGCACTTAACTTGGCTGTCAGGACTTGAGGTTTAGACTGTAGACTTGTATAGGAGGGGCCTGGATTTTAATTTAAAGCAGGTTTTGTTGGTATGATGCCAGACACCACTTACTTCACTGTAATTTTCTCAAAAGCAAGTTTGGTCATGGTGGATGTTGGTCATAGTGCTTCCTACATGTACCCAGAGGAATGAGATTCTAAAACCCAAGTAGAGTCTGGCAGTCACAGCCAGGAAACTTGTATAAAAAATTTAATACATATGTCAGAATCTTATTACACAAAATTTTCTAAAATGTTTATGGCTAGGAACAATTTTTCAAAGCTCCCACTGCACAAGATGCCATGCCCATTTGTACTGTGTCTCCATCTGTCTATTCATGGACTGAATAAAGGCTGGTTGAGGGTAGGAACCTTGCCCCTGCTCTGTTCTGAAGCTGCCATGCCCAACACTGGGGAGTGCACAAGACACAGTTAGTTAATGAGCGATTGAATATGTTATGCTTGTGATGAGCTTCCCAGGATAAACCAACCTCCAACATTTTGTAAAACTAATTATGTTTTAATATGGCTGAGTTTAGATTTTAAATTGTACCCCAGAGGTGAAAGGCCAGCATAGTACTGACAGCCCATTTATCTCACAGGCAGCACTGTCCTCTAAGTTATTGCCCTGGGGGAGCCCATTGCATTAGGGCAGTAATATCAGCATCATTTAGAGATACTAATCTGTATTGTGGCAATCACTCTTCTTGTCCTGCTTAGAAGACACAGTGGCTGATACTGATACAGGCCACTGTTAAGTTCACTGAAGTTTGAAGGGTTTAAGTGACAATTATTAGTGCAACAGTTTGTATCTGGCAAAATTCTAATGGGATTTTACCTTCTATTAACATTTTTAAACAACACCTAAATTCATAGTGGTATTGAAGTCATATTTGAAAGGAAATCTTATTTCCTATAACCCTATTAAAAACAATTTCTATATTTTCTTGAAACTAGCATTCCACATACTTACATGTGGCTTTAGTTTTATTTAACCAGAACTCTACGACTATTTCTGAAGTATAACCATCACTGTAATATTGCCAGTTCTACTGGGTGTTAATCTTTCATGCATAAGGATGACTTGGGGACTTTGTTTGATTTAATACCCAAGGACAATTACTAGTATGAATACAAATTAAAGGGCAAAATTGTCCCCAAGCTAAATTTTAAGAGTATAGTTAGCCATACAACAAAGCATTTATCATAGGGAATAAAACAAGCCAAAACAACTAAACATTTGGCATGAGATCTAATTTTCTCTGAGCCATTTTAATCATTATTCCCTTAGGTAAAGATAATTGACTATATCAAGTTTCAGGAATTTCCAAGATTGCCCAAACATATATGTTGAAATTACACATTATTTTGCATTTAATGTTGAGGCTATGAGGATAGTTGCAATATAAATAAGATTTTGTAGCAGCAGTGTAATTGTACGAACATGTCCTCTGTAAATGCTGCTGTGGGGAAGAAACAAAATAAACATGTACTGAGTCTGTGTTTTCCCAAGAAGAAAGAAGCAGCTTTCTGGGATGAGTTGTGGGTTTATAATATGATGAAATGTATAGTTTTGGTGAAAAAGATAACCTTTGGCTATTTATTTCTGATTAATTAGTGTCAATGAAGAAAACTACATTTCTACTTTTACAGTTTATGGTGTTTTTGCATCTCAGAATCCCTTGAAGTATAGATAGCCAAGGGAAAATACAATTAAAAATAAAAAAGCTAGGGATTTTCAGCCTGAACAAATTTTGAAACTGTGATCCATAGAAGGGAGATTTGGCTTCTTCGGCATAATTCCAGATGGGAGGAGGCAGGTCAGTGGAAAGAGGTTACACAGAGTTTTAAGTGAGTTTCAGGAAAACCTTGTTAATAAACTGTGTGCCATGATGACTGAGTTGTCATGGGGGCATGGAATGAATGTTCCATCCTGCCCATTTTTAAACAGGTTAAAGCCTGTCAGGCATGTATTATATGGGAAGAGGGAAACCTGCACTAAATCAACAGCAAATGGCTATTCAAAATATGAGCATTAGTACATTTAATTTATTCTCTGTTCTTGGACTCATTTGTAGAGTGAGATGCCTGCTGTGGCAATAGATTGTGTTAAGTATTACATTGATGGTTAAGTACTGGTGTGAAGTTTAACCCATTCTTTTTTTTCTTATTTTAATTGCATTTTAAATCTTGGTTAATGTGATTATGTTCACAGTGATGTTCCTGTTCCTTTATCTTTTTTATATAAAGGAAGGAATACAAGGGGGCCTTTTGCAGAGCAATCATTCATCCCACAAGTTTTGTGGAACACCAACTGTATGCTAACATCAGAACCAAGAGCAAAGTATCAGAATTCATCTAGGCTGTCCCCTTCCTCCAGTCTTTTTATCTTTGATCTGTACAACCTGTAGTCCAAAGGGCAAATCATACTGAAATGGGAGTTTAATAAACACTGAACTTGACGAGTTGTTTATGACTGATTTGAGGCTAGTTCCAGTGTCCTCTTGGCTATTACCTAGGTTCAGCTGTAATTCCCGACAAGTATCACATATTTTTGTTTTAGGAAGAAGCTTAGCAACACACTTATATTAATGGGCTGCTAGGTCAACTTCCCCAATGAAGCTCATAACGAAGAATAATCACAGAAAACAGAGTAAATGGAAACTGAGAAATAAGTGGAACTATAAAATCAAAATCCATCATTGTTACTTTCCAACATAAATCTCACTTCTTAACCAGACTACAATAATAATAATATATGCACAGTTTTCTGTCTTAAATATTATGATTTTACTAGGCCAAGTGTTAAGACATTCAAGTCCATCTAAAAAGACACGAGACAGCATTACAGCCTGTCTGTACGCTTGACATATTATAGCTTCATATGCAGCCTGGGCATTACCATACTATAATAAATTTCCATATTAAATGTCCTCAAAATTAATTTTTTCCCTAAACATTTTATGAATTTTTAATCAGTTCTTCTTGAGTATGACTCATTTGGACATGTTGACAATGAAAAAACTCTGTCGGCTGTGGTATATGTGACCACGTGAGCTATTTCATGTTTAAAGACTCTTCTTTCTTACCTTTGTCCTCTATTTAAAAATTGACCTAAAACCAAAATTTCCCAGATGAGATACATCCCATGCCCTAGAAATACTCAGTAAAATGGAGGCCAACCACAACTCTGACCCCTAAACATGGAATAACTGTCATGCAAACTAGAACTGTTTGAACAATTCTACTTTATCCTGAATCTTCTTTCATCTGTTGAGCTTTTAAGTCAGTTGTTAGGTGTATGGAATGTCTAGATTTAATTTTAGGTTTATACTAGCAGTTTAATAGAATATGTGTGCTCTATTCTGAAGGCATTTACAGTATGTTGAGAAAAAGTCTAATAAACACTTTACCAAGAAGAGTTCTTTTGTTGAGTATTGTTTTGAGGAATGACAATGAAGTCTGCTGTTTGTGAGAGGGAGTAACCTTATAATATTCAGCAGGGCAACACTCTATGAAAGATGTGGGATTAAAGTCATCTCTCGAGGGTCAGTGGCACAAGAACTGAAGGAAAGGGGAGATGTAGCAATCATAACATACCTCACCAGCCACCACTGCTAAATTGGGGTGAATAGCACAGTGTTTTTCAGATCTATGCCTTCTGGTTCACTGGATTGATAAGGAAGTGTTGACTGCAACTTTCAGTTCTATTTATAGCAACCCTTCACCCCAGGAGTCATTGAAAGAATTTTGAGGGTCTTATTAATTTTTTGCTGGAGCATTTCATGCAGCTATCAAGGTTTTTCTAGATAACTTAGATATCTAGAACCAGATGAGTGGTTAATCCTCTTTGCTTTGTGCAGCACCTGTCACCATAGTCAATCATCAGAATAGAAATTCCTGAAGCATAATAAACACTGGCCTACGTCCCTACATGTGCAGCAAATATTTTATCAGTGATCTCTCTCTTAGGAGGGAGCAGTCTTACTTCTGAATGAAAAAGTGACTGTGAAGTTGTCCATTTGTGACCAGCAATTAGGCTCGTGTGCAATTGAAGCTGCTGTTCCCCAAAAATGAAATATTGAACTAAGGCCTTCTTTGCACATCCAAAGAACTACAAAGAGAAGTGGTAGATCTGTATTTCAAATATTGCTGATGTTATTGGCTCAGACATGTTCCTTCTATTGGGTCTGTTTTGCAAGCCTAAATTTGAGCCTGAAGAGTTTCTCCACATAAATGTCTTAAGTATTGCAGTGGCACATCCATCACCTTTTTGCTTTTGAATTACAAACATAACCTTAAGATACGAGCCTTATACTGGTCAGTGTGATACATACACAGAAAGGGTGAGCCTCCTTAGTGATGAAATCAGCCATTGCCCAAGAGGAATGTAATAGGCAGAAAGGATAGAGTTGATGAAAAAATTGATTCTTTTCCATTAAAGTGTATGTGATGTGTTTTTTATGAAGCAGGAATCAGCTAAAAGAGAAATATTTTTTCAGCTAAAAAGAGATTGGTCGTGAGGAGAGGAAAAGTACGTACGGGACCAGGGGATAAATATGTGTCTTATTCCATTGCCACCTCAAATAATGAGAAAGTTGAAAAGCATTCCTTTGGAATTACTTCAGATGTTTATTTGGACCTGGTGTTATTAAAACTTTTTAATGTTAATACTGGCTCTTTTTAAAAAAAATACATTTTAGACTTCATACATCATTGCCTTCTCATTTCTAAAACTTGTGTTGCTTATTTTCAGGTTTGCCAAAAATGCAGGTCATTAGAAACTATACTGGAACACCACCCCCAGCTCTTCATGAAGGACCCCCCTTACACATCCAGGCAGGGGATACAGTTGAACTTCTGAGAGGAGATGCCCACAGTCTGTTTTGGCAGGTACTGTCCAAAGTATAATTTTTCTATTTAATGGATGATTTATTACTGCATAAAAATAAAGTTCTGGTCTTTAGAAACTGATTAAATGCTTTCAGCTTCAGAATCTTACATGATGTAAGGGACATTATTTTGTCTTATTAACCTTTCCTATATTTACTATGCCAAAGTGTCAATGATTGTTAGAATGGTAAAGAAAAAGAGTGTCGATGCTGTGAGTCATAATTATCATTTTCATTAAAAATTCATACTTTGCCAGAGCATTTTTTTTTCTGAATCTCATACCTGTGGGTATGATCTAATTTGCATGGCTTTAGTATATTAACAATTCACTTCAGGGAAACTACCTAATTAGCTTGCCAGCGGCTCTTTCAGGCCATATTTAACTTTTTGTCTACTCACAGACCTGAATTTCTCAGAGGTGCTCTAGATATTATTCATAAAATACAGGAAATGTAAAATATGAAATAATTATGTTAATGTTTGCTGATGATAAAGTCTCTTGATCAGTAAGCCTACATTTGATTTAAGCATTGTTAAAATTGAGATAAATATGGTATTATGTTAAGATTCAATAAAGCTGGATAACAAAACACTGCTATTCATTAAATCTCTATTTTCTTTTGTTTGTTAGAAATATTTTCCAACAAAATTAAAGAATTTGTTAAGTATCTCTTGTACATTGAGGGGAAAGTGGGTGAAGATCGACAGAATGATTGGCACATGAATGATATGTAGTGAAGGGAAAAGAAAGAGAAAGCCCAGGACTGTAGGATTCCATGGTTTACACAGCTTATCTGGTCAGTCTGTTTTACTGTCCACCTTCTTGTTACATAAGAATGCCCCCAGTTGGAGCATTTATCTCCAACCACCATTTCAGTAGTGGGAGCCAATGACATTTCTAGTGCTCCAGGAGTTTTCTTACATATTCCATTCCTCTCATATCTCATCTTTCTCAAAAAGGAAGAGAAAGAGTAAGATTGAATTCTACAGACTCTTGAACCTCTCAGCCTAACCACAAAGCTTGCTTGCATTTATACTCATAATTTTTCTCTTCCTCAAGACTTGTTTTCATTCTTGGATTTTCCATCCCAAATTTTCAACTTCATTCTCTGCCCTGGCATCTTTCTGTAGCATATAAATATACTCAAACTCCTCTCTTAAAACCATATAACTCAGCCTTTTTCTAGTTCTGTGAGGATCCCTCATCCTCTCTCTCTTCCTCTCCCACACTGAAGCAACCCTTGTTAAGGAGGTAGTTTGTGCTCAGGTTCTTCCCTCTGCCTTCTATTCATAGCCTAGTTTCCTATAGCTACAACTGTTATTGGATTAGTGATGCTACTTTTTACAAAACAATTTTGAGATATATGACAAACTGCTTATATATAAAATATACAATTTGATAAAATTTGACTAATGTCTATACAAGTGAAACCATCACTACATTCAAGATAATAAACATCTATCAGTCCGATTTTTTATTTTTTTTTGGTCCCATTTTAGCCTTCCCTCTGGCCCTTCCCTGTTGCCCACACCTCCAACCCTGAGACAGTTGTTCTACTTTCAGACTATGGATGAGTTTGCACTTTTTAGTTCCATGTTGTTTTCAGTTTTTGACTACTACAAATACAGCTTTTATGAACATTCAGTAAAAGTCTTTGTATAAACACATATTTTCATTTTTCTTAAGTAACTACCAAGAGAGAAATGGCTGTATCATACATAGACATATAATTAAATTTTGAGAGATTATCAAAATGTTTTTCAAACTCACTGCACCATGTTATTTTTCCACCAGCTAAACAGGAGGAATCTAGATGCTCCATAAGTTTGCCAACATTGTATATTGTTGGTCTTCTTAATGTTTTCATTTTAACAGGTAAATAGTTGTATGTCTTTGTGGTTTTGATTTGCATCTCCCCAATAGCTAATAATAGCATCTTTTCACATGCTTATTTCCATCCATATACCTTCAGTAGAGAAGTACTTATTCCAGTATTTAATGAAGTTTTTAACAAGTTATATTTTCTTATAATTGAATTTTGAAAGTTTCTTATATATTTTGGGTACATACCCTTTATAAAATATACCATTTCCATGTACTTTCTTTTAATTTGTAGCTCATATTTTTATTCTCATAATAATATTAGAGTAGACATTTTTACTTTTGACACAGTCTGATTTGTTACTGGACCATGCTGTAAGTATTAGAGGCACATTCTTGCCTTATTCCTGATATTAAGGAAAAACATTAAGTCCTTTACTGTTACGTATGATGTGACCAGTAGTTTAATAAATGCCCTTTATTAACTTCCTGACTTCTCTAGTTCTAGTTTGCTGAGAGTTTGTATCAGTTGATGATGTTGGATTTTGTCAGATGCTCTGTCTGCATCAGTTGAAATCATTATTTTTATTTAGTTTACTAACATGGTGAATTTGATTGAATTTTAATATATTAAACCAATCTTGCTTTCCTGAGATCCCCAGTTGGTACTGATACATTATTATGATTGTGTATTGTTTTATTTTCTTGAAATGTTTTCATCTGGTTTGGATAATAATGTCATACTCAAAGAATGAATTGAAACTATTGCTTTCTCTTCAGATTTCTGAACGTGATTTTATAGAATTACATTATTTTTTTCCTGGCATGTTTTACAGAATTTACCAGAGAAGCTCTCTAGGCCTGGAGTTTCCCTGTTAGAAAGATTTGTTTAAACTACACATTCAATTTATTTAGTAAATCTAGAGCTATTTAGATTATCTGTTTCTTCTTGAGTGAGTTTTGATAGTTTGTGTTTTTCACAGAACCCATCTATTTTGATTAAATTTTCAAATTTAACAACTTAAAGTCGTTCATCATATTCCTTCGTTATCCTTTCAATATCTGTAACTGTAGTCTGTTGTGGTTCTCTCTCTCTCTCGTTCCTGCTATTAGTAACATGTGTCCTCTCCTCTCCTCTCCATCAGTCTGAACTAGATGGTTGTGAATTTCATTGATCTTTCCGGGGACTCAGCTTTTGGTGGCTGACTGGTTCTATACTTTTTTTCCTGTATCATTGATTTCTGCCTGAATCCTTATTGCTTCTTTTCTTCTCTTTAGCTTGGGTTTAACTTATTCTTCTTTTTCTATTTTCTTAAAGTGTTTGCTCACTGATTTGAGTATTGTCCCATCTTTTTTCTAAGATAGGCAGTTAGTACTGTAAATTTCTAAATATACTTTTGCTCCCTACCAAAATTTTGCAATGTTGTGCTTTCATTTTCAGTCAGTTCAAAATGCTTTGTAATTGCCCTTTCAACATCTTACATAAGTTATTTAGAAATATGGTGTGTAGTTTTCAAACATTTAGAGACTTCCCAGATATATTTCTATTATTAATTTTTAAAAATTAAATTTATTTTTACTTGGTACATAGAAACATAAAAATTTTATATATTAATGGAGTAACGTGATGATTCCATACATGTATATTTTGTGTAATATTTAAATCAGTTTAACATACCTATTTTTCATCTGTTCTTAATTTCTAATTTAATCCCATATCATAAGAATATGTTTATATGACCTAAATCATTTTATTTGTTTTGTTTTTTTTTGTTTTGGTACCTGCGCTTGCGAGGCAGGCGGCAGAACCACTGAGCTAAATGACCTAAATCATTTTAAATTTATTAAGAATTGTTTTATGCCCCAGAAAATGCTCTCTCGTAATAAATGTTCTATGTACTTGAAAACAGTGTGTATTCAATGCAACTTAATTTTCAAGGGTGGCATGTTCTGAAGATGTCATTTAGGTAAAAGTAATTGATAGTGTTGTTCAAGTGTCCGCCCATCTTCTTACAGGCAAATGTAAGATTGTTGTGTATTATAATTCTTCTTCTCACTTACCTTTCTCCACATTTTTATTCATCTACTCTTCCTTATTTTATCTTCTAAATCGCTCTCAATGTATTTATTCCTCTGTACCTCCACTATAACTTTAATCAACTATTACATTTTTTTTTTGATTACCTTCTAGTCTCTTCAGTCATTTTCTAACTATGATCACCTCTAGAATTTACCTACTACAAGGGTCTTCATACCACTTCAAAATTCAGGTAATTACATGATTTCTTGTTGATATCTTTCAGTATCTTCCTTCTGACCACACCGAATTCACTTGTCTTATTTCTGATGGAGATATTTATGAATTTTAGGATCCATATTGTATCTTTCCCTACTTCTCTTGACCTTAGATCTCACCATTCTTCCACTTACATGTCCATCATCACTTCCATGCACCCCTACCTACTACTCCATGGCATTTTATTTGGAACCACTTCTGTGAAATTTTTTTCTCCTATCTACCCTCTTACCCCTACCCGATACCAAGTGGAATTGGAAAAAATCATTTTCTATAATAATAACAAAAGCAGTAACTAATATTCATTATACATTTTATGGACAAAGTTGAATTCATGTGATACTAATGAAAATTCTATAAAATAAATTATTATTTTCATTTTATATGTGAGCAAAATGAGGCACTGTGAGGTTGTGTAGTCTGCTCAGTCACAGAGTGACTTTGCAGAGCAGGGAATTAAATTTAGAAATTCTTGACCCCAAGTCCAAGCTTTTAACTATCATGTTCTACTGTTCCTTCTGTAGTCATGCTATTTATGATTAATCTCGTACTGTTCTCCTAAAGTTTATGCTTCTTAAGGATGAGGAGTGCAGCTTTTGTGCTATATAAGAAGGTGTGATTCTTTATGCTAATTAAAGAGCGCAGTTCCACAAGTTTGTTTCATCTCCTTCAAATTTATGTTTCAATTTTGTATTTATTAAACAATTTATTATTTCTTATAATGCCATAGATTGGTAAGGTGGTTCTTCTGCATCACTTGATGTTGGCAGGGTTGCTGGAACAGCAGTAAAGTTCAAAATGGCCTCATTTGCAGAGTTGGCAGCTGGGCTCTCCCTCTCTGTGAATTCAGCTGACACTGTCTGCTACACTGACTGCTTCAGT